GGCTTGGTAAAGAGGCAAACCAAGGGACACCTTCAAAAGGAACCCAACCATTTTGGGCCTAGGTCCTCCAGTAGAGAGGTTAGAATAAGGGCACGCTTTGCTTTTCTTCTTCTTTTCTTCTGGAGTCTATTTTAGCAGGGGAACCGAATCTCCCGCAAAAAAGAGGTGCTTTCAGGGCACCTAGCTGGGGGACCTAGTTGGGCGGACCACTACTTTGACATGACATGAGTTCGCGAACTCCCCGTTCCGCCCTCCTTCCATGTTCTTAAGTCCCCTGGAAAAACATATTTCCAGTGGTGATAGATTCAGGTCAAAAAAACAACAACAACAACATATTCTTGAGCAAATGGAAGTCTCTGAGTCATCCGGCCATCGGTCCAGAGACTCCCTCGACTCGCTCGGTCGCGGCTACCGCCTTTAGAAACTGCTGCGGGATCTTCCGACTCAGAGCGGCTCGATGTCTTGGTTGACGTTGAAAGGGGAGCAAACATGTAAATTTTAGCAGCTACGTGGGGATTTCCAACTAAAAAACAATAAGCAAACATGTAAAATGCTTCCCAACAACAACCATAATGGTGCGGAAGTAGCGGAAACCCGTTCTGAACCCGAAAGCCCGACAAACGACGGGGGCTCAAAATCATCCTGTACTATAATCATAAATAATAATAAATACAACATCTAACCCAAGTTCCCACAAAATGTTGAACCCGCCCGCTGCAAAATGCTCATTTCGATGACATTTGTTGGGCAGTAAGGATTCCCGAAAAGCATGGGCAGAGTGCACGTGGAAGCACACCCATTACAAGAAGCACGTGGGCATGTTCAAGCATGCAACATGTGCCATGTGTGAGGAAACAGTGGAATGAGTCCTAGACAAAGCTTGTTTGTCCAAGGGGGAAGGTGGGTGTTCCTCAAACTGGTCAGAGAAAACACCAAACTTGATAGTTTACTCCAGGATTGCCTTGACCCAAGCTCCAAAAAGGAGGACCAGCCATGCGTCCACTATCAACCTATTGGCATCGGTCAGTATGCGAGAGTGAAGCCAGAAGCACCAAAGCAGGCAGCAGTGGAAGCCAGTCTGATTCTTTGACGCAAAGAACTTGCCAGTTCTCAGTCCCAAGCTCAAAATCACTCTGACGAAGATGAAACTCAACTCAAAGTCTGAGGTCTCAAAGATTTCACGTCAAGCCCAAATCCTGCCTGGCTCAAAGGACTCGGACAAAAAGATGAACAGGCTTCTCATTCTTATCTTCTTATCCTGTAGCTCAAAAACGTTGGCATAACGACTCGGCATCGCGAGGTTGGGAAAGCCAACAAGTTGAGTCTGCAAGCCGAATCACTTGAGCAATCAGAGGTACAGGCTACAATGGCGGATATCCGCACCTCTGCAAGTGGCGCAACTTTTAAGCCGCTCCAGCACGCATGTGCCTTTTTGGCCAGAAGCGGAAGCCCCTGCTTGGGGTCTCAAAATCTTTGGCAATCTGCATCTTGCCCTTCCGGAGAAGAACAACACATGGCCATGGGTCAAAAATGCGTACCCAAAATGGCTTGCCCTGATAAATGGAACCAAAGACTAAACCCTGCGGTCCATATCCTGGTGGGTTTACTTTTTCCCATACCCACATTGGACATACACCCGGGTGAAGAAACAAGCTGATCCTCCAGATCCAGTGAGCCCGAACCATCTAGAACCTTCAGCTTTTAACTGGCTGGCTTGAATTGGAAGGATTAGTGGTTTGGTGGCTAGGGCTGGTTTCCCACTTACCCTCTCATTCACTAGTGGCTGGCTTGGATTGTGAAATGATTGGTGGTGGTTAGCGTGGGGCTGGTTTACCGTTCTTCGTCTACAATTACAAGAAGTAGAAGTTTAAATGCCCAAACCACCAATCCACGCCACCGATTAAGGGTTGGTTGCAACATGTTTTTTGTCCTCCCGAAAACCACAAGCATCAAATAGATAACACCTGGAAAGTTAAAAGGTCACTTGGAATTGATGCTTTTGCTTTGTGAATCTGCCCCAAAGCATCAAGCGGATTCATACTCCAGTTGGGTACATTGTGTCAACATAGGGTGACCTCCAAAAGGGGCGGTGTTTTTCCTCCAAGACCATCTGAACATGGTACCCTGAAAAGACACAGGCACACACACACACACGTGTCCAGTTGGCAATTCTTGACAATTAGAAGGGATTCCTGCGGAATACAAGGGTTGAAAAAGCAGGCTTGTGATTGACAACATGTGTGTTTCGATTGACAGAATGCCATTTAATTTTGCCCACAGGTCTATGCACCGCATACTTTCCCTAAGCTGACATCTCCAAGAACTTTTGGTTTCCCTTGGATAAAAGGCTATGGGCTAGCATATCGGGAGCCTGACTAAACATTCGTGGAAAGCCACGCAAAAGGTCGATGCGCTTTGGGCACGGGAGCATGCATTGTTTTTGATTGGAACCTGCCCTATCGACTGAAAGTCACCAGGATTCGGAAAACCAGTTTGGTGGTTGCAAAGATTTCAGGCGGTGACAGAGTTCAAATCATGTCCCCTGGAAATCAAAGGTTAGCCTTGGGTCGTACATGAAACAAGGGGAAGCCAGCAGGTTTTTTCAATCTGTTCGCCTAACTGAGCCGTACTGGTGACAGAGCATTGTTGCCTCCTTTTGGGGAATTCTTGACGAGTCCATCTCCATTCTCCGCCGGAAGCGGAACCGACTCTGCTCAAATGCGCTGGCCCGTGGCTGCTTGCCCGACCTGGCGTTCACGCGGACGAAGGCGCGGTTAAGCGCCAAAGAGCCCCGCTTTGGAAGAGAAACACTAGGGGTAACTTGGAATTCCATTCTTTCCAGGGATCCGAATCTTTCTAGTAAACCACCAAAAACCCTGGGGAAATGGCTGGTTTTTGAAAAGAACGATGGCCGAACAGAATGGGGAATCAACCCCGGGAACTAAACCAAAGCCAACTCAGCTACCATCTTGTTCTTTGACTTCTTTACCACTGGAAAAATCAGACCTGACCATAACCTGGTAGACCGTAAACTAGCCAATCGGAATGCAAGTGACAACTTTCGGCTGCGGGAATGTCTAAAACGCCAAACATTTGTATTGCTAGCCTTTATGTCTCAAAGGGGTATGAGATCTCATTCGGGACTCAAGGGGGAATTTGTGGACATCATCTAGAGGATTTATATCCACCACGTTTTTAGGAGGTTTCTCATCAACATTCATGGCCAGGGCAGTGGGGAATGACCACTTCTGTGATACAACAGAAAGGGCTTCCCAAAGACTATTTTGATAATAGAAAGGGGGATTCCCTTGTATCACAGAAGTGGGGAGAAACCCCTTGATCCCACAACCCTGCTCATGGCCACAAGTTAACCTCAACATCCAACGAATGGTCTGATGAACGCCCAAGCCATGCCCTTGAAGGTGACCGTCTGGCAACGGGATGTGTGCCGGGAAAGATGGCGCAGTTTGGCTGGCGCTTGTTTAAACGCTCAATGCGAATCTCGTTGGTGGCCCGCGAGATACTGAGGCTATCCAGTAGAGAGGCTAGAATAAGATGGCGCCTTTTTTTCTTCTTCTTATGTTTTTTTTTTTTTTAGGTAGTCTATTTTAGCAGGGGAACCCAAAAAAGTTGGTAAAAAGGGCACTACTGGGGGCCCTAGGAGGGATCTGGAGGCAGGGAAAGCCCGGTGCACCCCTTGCCCACCCCGGCCGAAAAGGCTGCTATTGGTTGCTCCAATGGTGAGCCCCCCTCCGCTTGGGCTCTCCCTTGGACCCACACCCCTTCTTCTTTCTTTTTCCCGTTTGCCAAAAGGCAAGCAGTCTTCCGCCTCTGTCGACCTCCTTTGGAGGGCAGAAAGTGTCAACTTCTGACAATAGGTGACCATTTCGCACAATAGATCGCCCTGGTTGGAATAATGCCCATCTAAACCGGCGCCCTCTTCTTCTATACAAAGTAACGTCAAAGCTTCCATTTGCTTTTTCGCCCCCGGAGAAAACATGTCCAGTAGTGATAAGCTCTCTTTACAACCAACAAGGGACAAACTAACACATATTCATTTCAAACGATGGAGTGGCTTGCCCATCTATTTCCATCCCAAGTCATCTAAAATTTTCCGTGTCCTTTCCCCCCCCCCCCCCCCGCAAAAATATAGACTCAAGAGTCCAATGTTTGAACTCCTGGATAAACCCCAGGACCTGGTCTCATAGTTATCGGTTAAAATTAAAAGGGCGCTAATTTGGATTAAAATTTGGCGGTCGGTGGAAAGCAGTTGGCAACCGGTTTGCCCTTTGACAGCGTTGACTGCCACGCAAGTGTGGCTCGATGGAGGCGGTTTGGCATCCGGTCAGGGAAAACTGGCCACTCAGTCATGTGTACATTATTAGCGCTAGCGGGGAACTGCCTTTGGCCTGGCACATGGTGGGATTCGGCGTTTGGCAAACGTCTTCAAGGTTTTCGGCGTCAATCTGGGCTGTAAAACTGGGGTTCATACAGGAAACTGGCCACAAATCGTGCCACAAATTCTTGCAACGTCTGAAGGTGCCCGTTCTGACTGGAAGCAGCTCCAGCGATTGATTATCAATCCCAGCGGGCAGAACCACCGGGGGCGATCCGTGTTGCAGGAATTGAACCTTGAGGGGGACTCTTGCGATGACAAATGCGAGCTTCGGAATCAATCAAATCATGTATTTCTCTGTATTTTCAGGGGTCCTTGCAAAATGGCCTTTGGAGACAGAAATCAGCGAAATCAAAGGTAAGCCTCAACCAGGCCTTAATTAAGGCCTCGCTAACGATGAACATTCCCGGGGGTTCAAACATAGTCCTTTTGATAGACATACTTCCAGTAGCTTTAAGACCAACAAGAGAGAACAAATGTATATATGTAGATATATATATATGTATATATATAAATATATGTATATCGGACATTTACAATGTTCTGTGGAAAAGGTAGGTTTTGGGGGGGCCTACCATGTACATAATATATACACCTTCATTTCTCAGCCGATGGACTTTAAAAGCACCGCCTCCCCCGGTTCTACGGCCTCCGGTCCTGACGAAACCCGCGCCCTCCGGTGCCGCGCCCTCCGCGCCTTGTACCAGCGCTTCTTCTTGGACTTCATGAGCTTCAGCGTGAGCTTCTGGCTCCCGAAGCGGCCCGTGGTGGCTTTCAGCTCCAGGAGGCTGTCCTCGCCGTTTAGGCGCGGGAGGCGGTTTATGGCGCGGTTCACCGGGCCCCCGGTTTTCCTTTAGCTTCCCTTGAGCCCACAGGGCCGGGTCCCGTGTTCCTTGGGCTTCGCTTTTCCAAGCTGAAAAGGGCCGCCAAAGAAGTGGACTATGCTGATGGTGAAGATGGCACTGATGGACATCCTTTCGGGAAGATGCTTGGCGCCGTTGTCCTTTGGTTTCGCATTTCCAACCTGAACATTTTCTGAAAAGGGTATCCGAAAAAAGTGATCAACCCTAGATGGTATGATCTTGTTAAACAGAAAAGAACATGGCTGCGGCTCAAAAAAATGGTACCAACATGGCACCTTGGTAGATGGAACCAAAGCCTAAAACCCGCGGTTTGCCCTAGCTCTTTCATTTTGAGCCATACCCATATTGTGGATGGACTGGTTGGAATCTACGACAGCAGAATCCTTCAATTTCAGGGGGCTCCAAACTCCATTTGGCTGTGGCTCAAAAGACCGGAATTCCGAAATGGCTTGCCCTGGTAAGTGGAAGCATGGACCAAAACCTGCGGTTTGCCCCTCCTGTCTAATTTTGAGCCACATCCATTTCGCACCACCGTTCAGACACCCTGGAATGACGATTCCCCTGTACCAACAAACATTTATTTCCGCTTCAAAGTGGTGCGAACGGACTTCGTCCATCCACAGTATGACCCCCCCACACAAACTAATTTGACACTTCCTGAGTGGACTGGCCAAAAAGCAAGTCCAGGCCTTGTTTTGCCACTAAACTTGTCTTCCCAAACAGTGACTAAAGTCAATGCAAGCAGGGAGTGAGTAATGCATGGGCACGAGCCATCCCTCTTCATACTTGTGAACCAAACGGCTGAATGGATGGACTGGGATCTCCACCATGACCCCCCAGCTGGCCTGGCAGAGGGATAACATATAACTCACACGTCGTATTTTGGATGGCTCATGTTTAGTGAAACCTTTAATTTTTTTCATTGGGGCGCTTCAACGCGGGTGGCAACATGTCATCACCAAATCGAAACAGCCCTTTCAACCCGGGGCATGGCGCTTTGGCCTAGGGGTAATTTGCAGGGCTTCCCTTGAGTGTGGTTTTGGGGGTGTACTCAACGCCCTGCTATTGACTCACGGATTGACTTAAGTGATTGAACTTTTTCTCTAGACTAAAACAGGGCTTCACAACAGATTCAAGTCCAGAACTCAGGGAGTGAGTTGAGCGATTCGAACACACACACACACACACACACATGAATGCGCATCTTTTTTGGGGGCCCTCCAAAATGGTGGTTTTCCTCTTGGTTGCCCTTGAAAACTCAACCAAACCTCGGTTGCTTTCTGCTCCCCTGCTAAGTTTAATGGAAAACTTACTAGTTGGCAAAAAGCCAAAGTCCTAACATCCAAGCAAAAATGCCCCAAAGAAACAGGGCTCTGTTTAAAACAACACACACACACACAGTCGCACGTGCCGTCTCTTTTCGAGTCCTCTGGCACGATCTCGCCGCTCAGAGGCGTGATGACCATCTTCCAGAGGTACAGGTCCTTCGGCTGGTCCGAGCGCAGGGGATTCTAAATTATACTAAACCCAGCAATACCACCTCAGTTGTTCAGTGACCCTGGAAAACAAATGGAACCCTTTTTGGGGCTTGGACCATTTTCGTGGGGCAGCCACCAAAAAAAAAGGGGGAAAAGAATTGGTGCCACTGAACAACCGAGCCACCCAAGAAATCCTGACTGCATCCCACATTCGCCAACTCCCCTCGGACTTGCAGGCTCTTGCCTTTGGGCAAGGTCCTCCAGAGAGCTGAGAAGAAGATGGTACCCACTTCTTCTTTTTTTTTGTAGGGAAACCCAAAACCCCGAAAAGGTTGGCAAAAGGGCACCTAGATGGGGGATCTAGAATATCTCATCTCCAGCCCGAAAGGGGATGATTTTTCTTGGTCGACGTTGGGAGCAACAATTTAATCTTAGCAGTTAAGTGGTTGGATTTCTCAAGTGGTTGGATTTCAACCACTAAACCACACTAAGCAAAAATTGGAAAAATGTGTCCCAACAACAACCATGGTTTGACTGAGCATTTCCACCCCCCCCCCATTCCGCTCCCAGCAGCGAGTTCATGTGACGGAACCTCAGCCCACTGAACCACACTTGTTCGGGCCCTGAAAGGCATTGTGTAATATCCCGGGCTTGGTGTTCGTGAATTCTGAAGGACCATCCAACATGTGTAATGGACCCGGTATTTTGTGAAGATCTAACCTGAGTCCTTTTGACGACTCTTCATGATTGTTCTGTCCGGGAGCATTCCTTCCCTTCATCGTCAATTGAACAAAGGGTCCCCATTCCCTTATGAGATCCTTCTCGTCGGATTGATAAGAACTCTTCCACCAGCGTGGACGTGCAAAAATTTCGGCACCTCGTAGACGGTTTTCCTCTTGGACGTCGACCGAAGGAGTCCTTGGCACCGTATGAGCCCGGCGCCACGATGTGTAGCTCCAGCCTGGCGCTTCGCAGTCTCGTGGGATCAGGGCCCCTTTTAAGCCAGAATCAACGCCTGGTACTAAAACGGTCGTAATCCCAGAACCATGCTTCAAGAACTGAAAAGGCGGCCGCACCCATTTGTACCTGGGAGTTTTCTTCTTCTCTATCTGTACTCAATTTCTCGGGCTTTGATTGTGACTCATTTGCCCGAATAACCCAAACCAGGATGGGGGGGAAGGACGATCGCAGCTGCCTTGGTTCAGCTTGGTCTTCCAAAGAAACTGCGAAGGACTGCTTTGGGTCGGCTTTGGAATCCCCACCCCGCGAGCCCCGAACCCCGCAGTCTTGGGTCCCTTAGAAAAGCGACCCGGTCCTGATGGACGAAGTCCAGTTGGGATGGATCAAGCAACGGGACAAACCACTATGGGGGATGAGGGTCCCATGCGGGTTAGGAAGGCGTGGATGCCAGGGTTTAACTATTCTGCCTTTGGTGGACTCTTTGGTCGACTCTTTGGTCGACCTTATGTAATGTCAATTGGGGACCTTTTTGGTGGACATGATTTAGGCGGAACAATATGCCTTTGAGTGGAATCATAACCCAACTGTCTTCGGCCCGATCTGTGCACCATCCAAAGCAGAGGGCAATCTATGCTAGGTCCTCCAGTAGAGAGGTTGGAATAAGGGTGCCCTTTTTCTAGTATGGGAATCTCAAGATTCCACCCTGAAGGTCCTTTCGCTCGGCCAAACGACAACTGCGTGTGCCGATATCAAATCCACCAGAGGGAATATCCTCTCGTGGTCTCAAATCGCTAAAGAGCTGCAGGAACAGAAGCACCTTTTTCAGACGTCTTCAGCTGCCATGGCTTCACATGCAGCAGCGCCTTCACTTGACGTCGCTAGGGCATCTTCGCAGGCAAAACAACTTTTTGAGATCGTGGGCTTGGCCATGGGTGCAGCGCCTTCAAGTAAAGCAAAAAACGCCGCTGGCGACCAGGTCGCAAACATGAGCCAAGTAGACCTTAGACCATGGAACCATTTTGGAATGCCATCCTCTCCAATGGAGGTGGAGCACCATGCCTTGCTTGCCCCAACGCAGGGACACGACTCCGTCTGGGCGGGTCTTGGCAGTGGTATCTTCTGACGGATGTCCCACGTGTCCAAGAAAAATCCAAGCGCGAGCACTTGCGATGGAGAAAGCTTGTCACGATCCTGCCACGAGGGATGCGAGCGCCATGCGCCCACTGTGCACTTGCAGCGCCTCTAGCTGCAGGCTCCAATTGGTCAGCCTGGGCCAAGCACGTTCGAGGCTTGCACCAAGCGCTCGACCGACTGTGCGCTTGCAGCTGCCTCTTTCTGCTTCATGTCGGTGATGGAAGCGTCAGTAGCAATGCCCGCTACTGTGGATGGACGAAATCCTGCACCAGCTGAGAAACCCTGGTTAATGATGAATCCCCTGTGAAAACCAATAAACAATGGTTTCCCATGGTTTCCAAGTGGTGCGAAATGGATTTCGTCCATCCACAGTATCGCGGCAGGGCGGGACACAGTTTCTCAGAAGCACAGCTCATCGCCTTACTTCTTCCGCCAGCTGCTCCAACCCTTCCTTGGCCACAGTCTACGATCAAATCTGAGCGGCAAGTGGATCTTGAGCATGTCTCCTTCTTGTCTCTGATCTGGCCATGGGTCAAAACCCAAATCGTACCCCCAGTGAACATCCCAATCCAACCACTAAAATAGGTTCTAAAATGGGTGGTGCACCTACCCTAAAATTTAGCCCTAAAATGGTACCATTGGTTTTGAACCATGGCCATCTCCGGCACTTTCAGTAGTGCTTCCCTCTCGTGCGCATCTCTGGTGGTACTTCAGCAGAGCGGAGATCCTGGAAGATCCCGCGTGCAGACTGCCGATCATGCCTTTGCGGCAGTCTGTGCGCGGAATCTGCCAGGATCTGCCTATTGCAGCAGAACTCAAGACATGATCAGACCTCTGCAAAAAGCCAACTGGGTGCTGGAAGGAATTAAAGGCAACTCAGGGTGGGCCAAAGGTGAGCTAAATCTGGCAACGGCTCGGCGCCTGAGAACAGGACGCGCACCTAGTGGCAACCTTTCTTGGCGAGAGGCACATGGGGCGCCGATTAACACGCAGCACATCAAGGACTCACGTCAGGCAATGAACACTCCTCGGACCTCAGAGTCTATTCCGAGGCTCCATTCCTTTTCAGAGACCTCCCAGCATAGGTGTCCTTTTAGGGTAAATGGCTCTAGTAGATGATTGATTGCACCACCAGGTAAACCAGGGCCATCTATTTTTCTACCAAAACATCCAAAAAGGACTCCTATGCCTCCCAGTTCCCCTGAGAACCTCAGACCATGAGGGCCACAGAAGCAAGGCCAAAGCTTGGCTTGGCTTCTGTTCGGCACGCCCTTCCAGGGCGAAAAAAACAACTGGTAGCCCGCTCTGGGCAGGTATAAATTTCTTCAAGGGCTGACTCGACACGTCCATGTAAATTCTGGGAATTTGTTTTGCGCTTGATGTTTTCTAACCAAATGCAATAGATCATACCAGGATAACATGGGTTCATACGTTCAGCCCCTCCCGTGACCTCCCTTCACGTGGCAAGACTGACATAGACCAGACATGGGGCAACTTCCCTTAACACAGTCGGCCAAGTCTACATTCAGCCTCCTCCATGTGCTTGAGTCATTTGCCAGTATCACCTTGGGTATGGCTCAAAAAACCGGGCCCAAAATGGAACCCTAGTAAGTGGAAACATAGACCAAAACCTGCGGTTTGCCCTAGCTCTTTAGTTTTGAGCCACTGTCACCTGAAGCTTCACACTTTTTGGGCCTCTGCTTGCCGAAGTAGGCCTGGATGGAGTCTTTGGTGATGACCTGTCGACGGGGCACCGCCCCACCCCCCCCCCTCCCCCCCTCCTCTCCGGCGTAAAAGGAGGTAGAGTCTCCAGGACCCTTAAAAGAATGGGTCCATGAGCCCTTCATTTGGGGTAAATGACCCCAGCTTTTTTAGGTCATGGCGACTCCAGGGAACCAGATTTTGTCCCCAGTGAAATGGCTCGAAACAGGGTCTTCTCAAAGCCGCACGCTGTACGAAATGAACCTACACCGCCTACAAGCCTTTTGTCATGCCTTTTGGTGCATGTACCTGGATGTCACCTTCACTGTCCCGTAAATGACGGAAGTTCCAAAGGTAAAGCCAAGTCATCCCATAAAAGGAAGCCTAATGGGTAACCCATCCTTAAAGTCTGGCAATGGTGCGGCACTATTCTCCACATACTCTACCCCTCTTAGTATGGTAGCACAAAACGTGGCTCTCTCCAGCCCCCAGTACAAAATGAACCAATCCAACCTAAAAGAAACAAGATCGACACATGCCAAGAATAAGAGTGAAGCATACGTAGGTCCTCCAGTAGAGAGCTTAGAATAAGATGGTACCCACTTTTTTCTTCTGTAGTCTATTTTAGTAGGGTCCCGAACCCTCCCAACCAAAAAAGAAACGGTGAGAAAGTTGGCACCAATCGCTGCGAGACCTAGATACCAAGCAACACCCCAAAACCTAAACTCGCTGACTCCAACCGACCCCTTCAGCCCGCGGCGCGCCTCGGCAGCGCCGTAGTACATGTGGGCGTTGAGCTCCACGTGGACCTTGGCGAACTGCTCCTGACGCAACAAAAAAAACGGCCGGCGGCGGGTGGCGGGGGAAACGAAAGGAACATTTCATAGTGGGGATGGTGGCGAAATCCGCTTCTCGCTCCACCCAAGAAGCCTTGGAATGGTCGGATTCCCTGTAACTTCCAACAAACAAATGCTTTCCCGTGGCTTCAAAGTGGTGCAGGAATTCGTCCATCCACAGTAGGTGTTCTTTTAGGGCAAAAACAAAAGGACCTGGTAGATGGAGTGGAACCACCAGGGAAACCAGGAATCGCCGTCTGCTTTTTCGAGCAAAACAACCAAAAAGGACACCTATGGGGTGGATTTGCATAACCAGCTTCTTGTCGGTGGATGAGCAGATAATCATATTGTCAGATTCTCATATTTTCTCATGCAGCTTATTGTTGGATTGTCAGATCAGAATGAACGGATTCCAACCATAAATCAGCTAAAGTTCCTTCCGCTTTCGACACTTTCTGCAACTTTTCGAAGTGAAGGATCACCTCCTGGCAGGCGGGGACTTTCCTTCAGAGGCCTAGGGGGAGGCGCCCTGTTCAATTCACTGGAAAGGTGATGAACAAGCAATGCCTGAAGAGGACACATAGTTGGCAATGACAGTGACCCGGGCGTGTTTTCGTCCCTTGTTGGTTGGTTCACCTGCGTGGAAGCTGTAAAGGTGATGCGTGCGCCATTTGACAGAAGGACATCGAGCTGAGTGCCTATGTGGGAAACTGAGTGCATGCCAAAACAGCGATGTGTCAAGCCACCAAAAGGGGCTAAGAGCTGGGACGCTCGAAAATAGGCGGATCTACAAGCGGGAACTTGCGGGCCTTGTTAGATATGAGAGTCGATGGAAGGTATGGTGCTTTCGAAAGCACCAAGGAACTTAATAAAAGCAGTATGGGCTAATTTCAACAAGAAGGCTTCCGGGTAGAATGGCTTTGAACGAAACCTGCTTGAAACGAAAACCAATCATTTGTGGTCAAACTGACACGGAAGGTTCCAGTTTGGATTCCTTTTAACAACCAACATGTGAAAGAGTTGCCAATTTCGGACACGTCCACATTTTCCCCTGATAATTCGTATTTCCAGGTCCCATATATATGTATATATATATGTATAATATACTATATATGTAGTAAGACAATGCCCGACAATGCCCTGATTGGTTCAGCGAGGTTGCCGGGAAACCGAACTTACCGGGAAGCCTCTCGGTTCCTTTCTTTCCGGTCTTTTCTTTCTTTGGCTCCTTTCATTTTTTTTTCCTTTATCTTTTCCTACCAGTCAAACAAAGTGAACCTAAAATAGCACGAGTTGTGCACGGAACAAGTCAGCCTTCTATTTCCCTTTCATTTCCCCTTGCTCGTGTCCCGACTCGGCGATACCGACGTGTTTGCCACGAGCAGAGTGGTATCGTATACCGTAAATATGGCCTCAGGTGGCGCCTGACGTCCCTGCTGTCGCAGACCGTCTCAAAACTCCCTGCACATAAGGAGGCGCGCGGGGGAATTCCGGGAGGGCCCTGTCTCTGAACTTCACTGAGCAACGCGCTTCAAGCCAATAAACATCCCAAGACTTCAGCAAACCACCGGTGTCTTCTACAGGCCCACCCGCCCGGCGAATCCTTCAACAAGTCCACCGGGGCCGGTTTTACTTGACCCCAGGTTACAACTCAAAATCGGACGGACCTTCCGGCAACCGAGGATCAAGGCAACAACGGGAACCTCCATGTATCCAGAAAATGCCTCACACAACATCTTTGCACTACAAACATGCCGGCCTTCAGTCCCTTTTCTCGGAAGGTCCAAGATAAATTACAAGTTGAGACTCGAATTTTCAAAAAATGCATGTTACAAGTTCATCAAGCCGAGCTACTTGCCAACAGCTTCTTGCCAGCTTGTGGCAAGCTGTTGCAGGCGTTGCGGAGTTCTGCCAAATGCGCTAGAACTCATTCACGCCAGCGAACTGGAATCGATCAAATGCCTTCGTGCACCTTGCGGGATCTCGCACCGTGGCCACTCGGACACAAGCGGCACGCCAAAAGAGGATCTCGATCGAACTTCCCTGAGACACGTGTGGTGTGGCGAAATCCGAGGTTCCCACTCACCAATTCCGCAAACTCGGTCTAGAGGTCAGACCGTCGCAAATTCATTGCCTCACTTGCAATCAAAGCTAAGGTAGGCCAAAACTGGCTGACATAAGGCGATTAACCCCAACCTGTCCTCAACCCCCAACCCGCAAACCCACCCGCCAATCACTGGCTTCAAGTACAATTCTGTCGGTCGGCCCTGTGATAAGGCGATTCGGATACCATGACTGGGGACTATGCTAAAGCGCATCTTTTTGGCCCGACAAATAGATCGGGGTCGTGGGATATTAAGCCAACATACCTTATGATTGTGGGGAAAAGTTGTATTGTGTTGGAGAGTGCAAAGTCACCGTACAATATGGGGAAAGATGTTTCTGAGTTATTTGGCCCCTACCATTGCTTTGGCAAAAGCACCCGGCTTCCCTTGGCACCCAAAAGTAGCAACCCCAAACCCGGATTTCCAGTACCATGCTCAGTCTTCCACAAAACTTTGGGCCCCTCTTTGAGATTTCTCTATGGGGCCCCTGGTTCTTTGGTTCCATCTTAATTTGTAGGGGAGCCGGTGAGATGTTGTCTTATCGAGGATGACATCAACCTAGCACCACAGGGCACATGGCAGCTAGATGACAGATGCAAATCCCAAAATGAAATTAGACTCGTTTAAGGTTGAACTCACTACATGGGCGGGTGTTCCTTTTTGCGTGTCATTTTAAGACATAAAAAGGGGTACCCTCAAAAAGGCACACCAACTTGGGTTTATGAAGCAACTAGGGCTCAGTGGCAAGGTGAATATGAAATAGCGTCCAAGCTGAACCCGTGATGATCTGCCCAGCGTTTGAACTTGGGAAGTCTCTTGATCCCAAGTCGAAACTTCTAGTGGGACACCGCAACACGGGAAGCCAACACCATTCGGCATGAAGATGGATTGACTTTGAATTGAGGAGGTCGCTTTGCTCGCTCGTGAGCCGGTCGCATCAGCCGAAGCGGAGCTCAGAAGAGTCTTCGCAGACGTAGCAGACCTGGTCCTTGAATTCTGAGCCTCAGGTTGAGCACAAAGACCTCATGCAAGTGCAACAGCCCTTCAGTTTGATGCCCTTTGTCCAACATTGGAAGTTGATAGAGCCCCTCTTGTCAGCCGTTGGAGGGAGAGTGCAATGTTTGCTGGAACAACCACAGGTCACAGTGGTTGATTGGAACGAGTTTCAACTGTGGACAAGTGCACGGCACCCGTCCCGCACCCCCACTGACCAGTGACGAAGCAGGACATGTGAAGACCAATGCTCACATAATATGGCCGCGGCTCAAAAACATGTACCAAAATAGCACCTTGATAAGTGCCACCAAAGACTAAAAGCCGCGTAACCCTACCAGCTCTTAATTTTTTAGCCACACCCGACATGAGTTCTACTCAGAACCTGGCGTTCAAGGTGTCTATTCAAAGGAAGCAGAGCAGCACCTTATCTAGGCCCTCCAGTGGAGAGGCTAGAATAAGGGTGCCCTTTTTTCTGCAGTCTATTTTAGTAGGGGAAGCCTCCCCCAAAAAAAGGTGAAAGGGCACCTAGCTGGGGGACCTTGTTATGTGATGGCCCCCTAACCAGTGGCAGCTTCGAAGCTACCTAGAACTTGCACTTTTCGAAGGTGAGATATCAACCGTCACGTCTTGAATGCGAGTTTGATGCCAACGTGGGATAGACGGGTCTAGAACTTGGCACATGAAGCAGAACCGGCGGGAGCCCAAAGCAGCTGAACCCCTCTGAAACCAGTCACCCTAGGGAAATCCATGTGCATTTGACCAACCCCAGGGACACAAAACTAAGGGTTTCAAGTTCTGTTTCGCGCAAAGCCGAGCTCAAAGCATAAGATTGGGTTCTGAGACTATGGGAAAACAACTCTAAATCCTCTCGACCCAGCTTGATTGCCTTACAGGTTCCTGGAAATTTGGTGACCCTCCATTCGACGGGACGCCTCTGGGCTTCGACTTTGCCACTGACCCACGCCTCCGGCAGGACGCGGCACGGCCAGAGGAGGCGCTCGCGAGGTCTGGTGGACGGGCCGCAAGCGGATTGGGGTCCGTTTCCGTGGTTTGGCCCAAAAAAATGCGAATCCTCTGGTAGCCCACTTAACATGGTAAGCCCCCTATAACCAGGGTTAGCCATTTAGCGAAGTCCCCCTATGGCAGGGAATTCCAAAACGGATTACTCCACCTCCGGTAGAGAGGTTAGAACAAGGGTACCATTTTCTTTTTGTCTATTTTAGTAGGGGAACCCTCCCAACCAAAAAAGGGTTTCCAGGAAACTACTGCGGGACCTAGACAAAATGCGAATCCACGTTTGCAAATTGCCAATTTTTGGGGGTGGTTTTTGGGACAAGCAGAAGACTGTAAGCCAAAGGCTGACCCTGGACCGCTATTTGGGAAAGAGCGGCTGGAAAATGAGTAGAACCAAATACCAAAACTGACCCCCCCCCACCTCCCAGTGCTCCCCTTATTGGATGACTCACGGCCGCACGGTGATGTATCCAGGTGTCCTTTTTCGGAAAACACAGGGAACACTGGAGTTTTTGATCACACAAGCGGTACAGGCCATCCATCTTTCAACCAAACTCACTCGTTGCGTTTGAGGGGTTTCCCCTGTTCAAAGGGGGATGCAGGTCTGGGGGCTCACAAAGCTGCCGGGACCTGTTCCCATGGAAAATGAAGGACAGCCCTACGTCTAGGGGGAGGGGGGGGGGGGGGTGAACATGGGATGCGTCCAAGCACACACGGAGCACTTGAGCAACGGAAAGGCCATGTGGGAGCTAGTCTTAAAATTACGGTCAATCGGTGTTCCAAGAAAGGGTGCGGGAACCGGTCTATGTTATGGTGATTTCACCAATGGCACAGTCCGGACAAACCCACGGTTCAGCAAGTTGGAATAATTGTAAGGAACTTGCCAAACTCGCCAAGGCTCGGAAAGAGCTTCAAGACCCCACTGCTTCAATTGGTTGTGGCAACAGTTCAGCCTTTGCAGCGTTGAAACAAGCCCGCCGGACCGTCGATCGGGCGAACCGATGCCTTGGGTTGAGGCGTTTCAGGCAGGCCGAGCTGCGCTCGAAGATCCTGACGACGGAGGTCATGACAAGCCTTTGTGTGGATTTGCCGGAATTCTGAGGGTACCCCTTTAAGCATCTCTACAGGGACAGCAGCAGGAAGCCAACCAATTCAAATTTTCCGAATTTGAGAACCCTTGTGACACGTCACATCCCCCTTCTTGGTCTCATGGCAGTGTGTCTGTGTCCGTGTATGAGTTTGTCTGTGTGTGTCGGCATGTGTGTATGTGTGTGTGTGCGTGTGCGCGCAGGTGCGGGCGCGGGTGCGGGCGCGGGCGCGGGCGCGGGCGCGGGCACGGGTGCGTGCGCGTGTGCGTGCGCGTGCGCGCGCGCGTGCGCTGCGCGTGCGCGTGCGTGCGTGCGTGCGCGTGCCCGCGGCCGCGCGCGCGCGCGTGCGTGCGTGCGTGCGTGCGTGGGTGGGTGGGTGGTGTGTGTGTGTGTGGGTGCGTGCGTGCGTGTGCGTGTGTGTGTGTGTGTGTGCGCGTGTGCGCGTGTGCGCGTGTGCGCGTTCGCGTGCGTGCGAGTGCGCATATATGTGTATATATACATACATATATATATATGTATATTATGTGTGTGTGTGTGTATGTGTGTGTGTGTGTCTGCGCGTCTGCGTCTGTGCGCATTTCGTTCCCTCCTTGGACAACGCACACAAACACAAACACAAGCACAGACACGGAGACAGAGATGCAAACTGGAACACAAGCAAACCCCTCTCAGCATGCAATTCCATGAAAGCGTGTTGGTGTCCGTGTATGTGTGTCTGTAACTGTATTTGTGTCTGTATGTGTCCGTGTCTGTGTCACAGAAACACACACAGACACGCGCACACACACACACACATGCGAACACACGCGCGCGCACGCAAACACACAGACACAAACACACAGACACAGACACAGACACAGAGACACAAACACACACGCGCACACACTCACACACGCACGCACGCACGCACACACACACACACAAACAAATGTACCAATGTACAAACACACAAACACACAAACACACAAACACACAACCACACAAACACGCACAAAACAAACACACACACACACACACGAACACAAACACAAACACACACACACACAAACTGCCGGGAGGCGACTCAGTCCCCATATATGCGATAAATAAGATACTGTGTGCCTCAGCCGTCTTTAGTCAGGGTCAGCGCCGGCGACGAAGTAGTCGCCACGGCTTCGACCGGAACTGCATGGCTGCATATGAGGAGTGTGAAGGTTCTCGCACGTTTGCCCAGCTGGAACACGTTGGTAGAACCCTCGCGGCACGATATGGTGCGCAAGCGCTTGTGGCTACTCACTCCGCCTCCACTAACGTACGCAGAGGGTAACCATCAGAACGCGACCGTGAATGGGCCTGTGGACTAGGGATTCGCGACATCCCCCACTACGGTCAGAGGTTCATCACAACACAAAAACTGATGGCTCCTCGGCTTGCGTGTGTCTTGCAATCGCTCTACAATTTTTGTGTTCGGGATCGAGTAGACACTAGCGGTCACTAGCGAAACGAGCCGGCGATGGCCAAATCGGGCCGAAGGTGCTGCCCTCGCGCCGACCCACAGGTGCTGATTTGCGATGAGCGCCTTCCCTAAGCTTCCTAGCAGCAAGGTTTTCAGGCTGGCAGCCTAAAATTTACAATCTAGCTTGCTAGAAGTCGAAAATGCAAGTCATAATTTTGTGCTGCCAGCCTAAAATTCAAGCTGGCAGCCTAATATTTACACTGCTATCTGAGGGCTGCCAGCCTAAATTTCAATCTTCTAGCTCGAAAACTAGCTTCCAGCATTCTTGCAAAAACAAGCTTCTAGAACACAACAAATCTGTCTTCTAAAGCTAGCTTCTAGAAGTGTGAATTTCTGGCTTCTAGAAGTCAACTTTTCAGAGCCCTTTCTGCTCAAAAACAAAGAACAGTTCCACGAGGCAAGCCAACAAGCAAACATATACATGTGAGAAGGGACAAACAGCATACACAGCAGCAAGCTGCTATTACAAGCAGCATGTCTGAGTTGCCATGCTGCCTCTGAAAAAGCGCGAAATGAATTTGCAGGAGCTTGACAAGAGGCTGAAAAAGCCTGCTGAAGGCTCAGCAGACAAAGGGCTGCACCATAGTTTGGTGGCTTTAATTCAAGGATGCATTCCAGATTGCAAACCTGAAGATTTTCTACCTGAGCCTGAGGAAGGCTGCAAGAGGCTTCACACCTTCTTAGGCTTGTGGTTCCCTGCCACCAACAATAAGGTGGACTGTGAAAGGAAGGCGCTTGCAGAAGCCTGCAAGAGGCTGCAGGTGGCAGAGGTCAAGTCAATTGTCAATAACATACGTGCTTACAGGCAATGGCTGCTGAAGAAACACAGGAACTTGAAAACAGGTGAGAGGACTGATCCTGTCGTCAGGGCTGCTGCAAAAGATCCTGCCAAAGGGTTTCGATGAAAAAAGCAGCAGCCTGAGCAGCTTAGAGCCTGAAAAGGCAAGGGGTGGCGGCAGCAGCAGCAGCAGCGGCAAGATTGCCCGTTCTGGAGAAATTGAGCCTGCCGCAAGGCTGAGAAAGAAGACAACCTCGACGCACCCCTTAACTCCAAAGGCAAAGCCTGCAAAGGCTGTGCGCATGCTGTTCTTGACCCCTGGAAGTGAAACTTCTCCAAGTGCAAAATCTGTTCTTTCCATTTCAAGCGGCGAACTAGTGCCTGCAAAATTCATGTCTCCAAAAAAAAAGGCAGCGCCTGCAAAGGCTGCGTGTTAAGAAGCCTGCCAGCCAAGGAAGGCTTAAAAGGCCAGCCGCTGATGGGCCCGCAAACGCCAAGACTAACAAGAGGCTTTGGGAAACATCCCAAAGTTTTGGGTATGTGCACGAAACCAGGGCTAGCCAGAAAGCTTATATCAGAGCCAAGCCAGAAATGGCTGCGAACGAGTACTGCTTGGTGAATGTCAATCTCCCTGCAGGCCAGAAGCAGGATGAAGTCATGGATGCGCTTGTCAAGAAAGCACTGGAGCCTGGATGGACCAAGGAAAGTCTGTTTGATGAGAAATGCAAATTGCTTAAAGCTGGAAACGGCTGAGATATGTGAGCCTGAACAAGGCTGCGCTAAGATCGCAAAAGCGTCACATTGCAAAAAAAAGAAAAGAAAAAACATGCGCGTCAATTCAGGGAGGATCCCGAAAACAAATTACAATTTTCTGAGGTGGGAAAGATAAACTCAACCCCCTGTTCTTGCTTTTACGGCTCAAGCCAAAACGGTTGCAAAAAAGGAGTTTCACGCACATGGTTGAACAGAGCATGTGTCCCCATCATCAAAAAGCAACACCTCACACGCCACCATCGCAGGCACACACACACACAGACTCACGCACCACGCTGCCAGCCTTTATGTCCTCCTCCACCGCCATGGCTGCGCACATGAGCCTGTGGAAGGCTGTGGCCATCATTTTGATGGCTTGCCCTGAGCCTGGAAAGGCTGCCCACTTCGAATGGTTTGACCATGCCAGCCAATGGCAAGCCCTCCTGGAGCCTTGGGAGGTGGAGAGCCTGGAAGAGGCTATGGATTGTGACCCTGAAATGTACAATTACATCATGGGTCACTTTTATCTGGGCACTGGCTCCTCAGATCATCCGCCTGTGTGGAGCCAGCGCAGCCAGCAATGGCTTTTCCAGACCCAAGACGCTGGGCATGGGCTAGAGCTTGCGCAAGGCTTGGATTTGGACTTGCTCTACTGGAGGCTGCGAGAAAATCAGAGGCGAAAAGAACAAGCAGCCTAAAAGATGAAGCCTGCAAAGGCTGGGAGAGCTGGCAGAGCCATTGGTGGCAGGAGCCGTGGCAGGAGCCTGATGAAGGCGGGGCTCTCACAGCTCCAGCGCGAAAGACCGCGCCAGCTCCCCTACCTGGTTCAAATGAAAGGTATTTGACCAGGGGGTGGGGCAGTGCCTGCAAAAGGCATGCCAAAACAGGCTATGAGGCAAGAGGCGAGCCAGTGCCTGATCACCTCATGCCAAAAAAGATAGAGCTTGCAAAAGCTTTCAAGAAGCAAATGGCCTGTTTGCTTTGGAATAGCAGGCGAGCCGCTGAAGCTTCTTGTGAGGACGACCTGCCTGAACATCCAAAGCCTCAGCCAGAACCGCCGAAGCCTTGTTGCAGCCCTACGAGCCCGGCCGACTACTCGGACACCTCCAGGCGCGCTCCATGGGCAAGAAAGGCCCTAGGCTTTCTTCTGTGTCTGAAGAGCCTGAAAAAGCACAAGAGCCTGCAAAGGCCCAAGAGCCTGCAAAGGCCCAAGAGCCCCAAGAGCCTGCAAAGGCTGAAGATGTCAATGTGAAGGAGGAGCAGACAGACGGCGAAGATCAAAAAGATGATTCAGGCAAAGAACAAGCAGCGAAGAAGAAAAAAAGAAGCCATAGCAGAAAGCCTGAAAAGAGCTCCGAGGAGGAAAAGCCTGATTGGGGTGATGGGCCTGACAAAGGCCCAAAGTCTGACACAGCCAAAGGCTAAGCCTGAAAAAGGCTGGAGAGCCTGCAAAGGCTGTGCTGCCACCTGAGCAGCTGGGCAAACGACGCTCACGAGTTTTTGAAAAAAACGCAACTTGCAGCTGGCGGGTTCTCCCACAATTTCTTTGGCTAGCACGATCCAACCCTAATTTTTCAGGACTGGACGGGTGTCACTACTAGCTTCTGAGGTTGGAAATAGGGGGTCCCAAATGGGCCCTGTGCGAATCCGAGCCGGGGGCACCTAATCCTTGAGGAAAACACACCCACTGTGGCAGCAGTCTCTGTGGCCCTGGATCTGTTTCAGGCAAGAACTTGATGTTACAGATGGGTTGATGGGGTACTGGAAGTCCCTGTTGTATGTGTTGTAGTACCTGGAGAGCGAAGCCGCAAGTCCTTTTCTACACAAACACGGTGTAAGCCATACTGCGTGGTTGAATGAAGGGCCTTGAGCCAAAGTGATTACAATGATTGCCATGAGGTCAAAACTGGTCAAAACAGAACACACCCCGCGCCAC